CAGCTCACACTAAAAAACAAACTTAGCTTCAATCTCCTGATGAAGCAACTCATGTAGACAAATCATCTTATACATAACCAACAAAAGTTTATTTCTTTGCAAAGGTTACAATGTGTGTTTACGTTTCATAATTTGATTGGTACAAACAAAGCCACAAACATGCCAGGCCATTCCAGGCAGACTTAACCTACTTAACCCTTTAAGGGTCAAGAGCCTCAATCCTGACCTCCCACTGGGGGTCGAAAAATATTCAAAAAGAAAAAAAAATTTGATTATTTTTTCTTATGAAATGATAGAGAAACTTTTCCGGATCATAATGACACCAAAAGTATGAAATTTTTTGGAAAATTTACAGAATTATGCTCTCATGAAGTTAGCGATCTTAACGATATTTACGCATCAGTGATTTCGCCCACTTTGAGCCCTATTTTCGGCTAATTCCAGTGTTCCAGTCAATTAAAATCATAGATATTTTGCTAGAACTCCACTTGGTCTATCGAATGAGTACAAGAAACCGCCCATTTACCAATTTCAACTACCCAGTGAAGTGGTCAAAAATTGGGAATTTGGCCAATTTCACACAAATTTCAAAAGATGCCAATTTCAAAATAGGGTCCAGAATAAACAAGACTGACATTCCTGGCACTAAAATAACATTTTCTCTGTTCATTAATCACATCTCCAGGCCCCTCTTATATTACTCTTGCTTTCTATTTTGAAATTTTCACACAAAAAATTGAAGATTTACTGTTATGCAGAGTACTGCAGTATTGTAAAAATGGTATAAATAATATCAGCACACTTGTGAAAGAATATTAAACTCACCAGTTGATGTGTACTGGATGCGTGGAGCGATTTGTTTACTCTTGAACATCGGCAAAAATCGAACATTTCCGCTACTTTGAGCTCAATTTCAAGGTACTTTTCTTCGTGAAACCAATCAAAATCAACTCTATTTCTGTAATATATCTTCCATTCTATCAAGTGAGACCAAGAAAACGAGAATACAACCATCAATACCATACGAAAATACACTGCAAAGTCGCCGTTTTAAACAAAAAACACAGTCAGAGTGTTTTTCTTCTCATTATGCACTGTGTGCTTCAGGATTTTTTTATAAAATGCACACTGACCATGCAGACCCATTCTTTCATTTGTAAGCCTACTAGCTTTCTTCCACCAGATTTGAAGGAGCTAGAATTTATGCTTATCAGTATGTGACCAACAATGGCTGTTAAGACGTACATGTATGCGACCAACCCTCAAAGGGTTAAAGACTACTTTAACCCTTTCAGGGTCTGGCCCGTAGATCTACGGCTTTACGTTCAGGGTCCAAACCATAGATCTACGCCATGAGCTCAGCTCACTCTGATAAGCTGTGAGTGGTAAATTTGGGCCTAGATATGAGAGAATACATCTATGTGGTATGTGTGCACCACATAAAACAAATCCTGCATCACACAGTGCATAATGAGAAAAAAAAAACACTGTGATTTTTTATTAAAACAGCAAATTTGCAGTGTTTTTCATATGTTTTTTATAGTTGTATTTGCAATTTCTTGGTCTCATTTGACAGAATGGAAGATATATTACAGAAGTAGAGCTGATTTTGATTAGTTTTAGTACTGGAAATGGCTTGAAACTGAGCTCAAATTAGCGGAAATGTTAAATTTTTGTCGATGTTCAAGAGTAAACAAACGACCTCACACGTCTAATACACGCCAGCTGGCGGGTCTAATATACATTCACAAATGTGATGATGATATTTATACAATTATTACAATATTGCATAACAGTAAATCTTCTATTTTTTGGTTTCAATAAAAATTCATTGTGAATAAAAAATGAAAATGGAATTCATTTGTAAAGCCTGAAAACATAACTAATGAGCAGAGGAAATGTTAGTTTAGTGCCAGGAAAACCTGCATTGTTTATTCTGGACCCTATTTTGAAGTTGGAATATTTTGAACTTTGTGTTAAATTGGCCAAATTCCCAATTTCCGATCACTTTTTTTTTGTATTTTGAAACAGTTGACTGGGTGTTTTCTTGTGCTAAATCAATAAAAGAAGAAATACTAGTGATATAGAAAGTTTTTGGTCGACTGGAATAATGAAATTTGGGTCAAAATGGAGTCAAAGTCGGCAAAACCCAAATTGAAAATATCGGTGACACTTTAAAATTCGCGGAGATAATTTCGTAAATTTTTTCCTCAATTTCGTACTTTTTTTTTTATTACCTTCGAAAAAATTCTAAAAACCATTTCGTAAAAAAAAAAATTTTTTTTTTTTAAAATTCTTGGACACGGGTGCACCCTTTGAAATTTGGCCTCGGGCCCAAAAAGGGTTAAGTTTAGACGGGAAAAAGAGGGGGTACACATAACTAAATTTCAAAATTCAATATAAACATTTACTCAATTTTTAAAAAAGAGGATACAATTTTATAAAACAAAAAATAGATTTTTTGGGTTTTTTAATAATGGTTTAATAAAAAGGGGATAATAAAATTTTTGGGAAGAGTTGCTTCAAATTATTTTTTTAAGATTAGCAAAGTGTGGGGATGGGTTTTTATTTAGAGTAATGATTTTTTAAATATAGTCCAAATTAATTTGTGGCAGGGGACCTCTTTCCGGTCAGGCAAAGAGTTCATATCTTTGGGGCCCCTTTATTGCATTTTCATTTTTTTCAGTGTGAGACGGGCACAAAGGGATGCAAAAAATGTTTTGGCTTCGTGTTATGCCTGTGTGTTCTGTTGTAGCAGAGAGCTTATATTGGAGTTTAATGTTCTGTATGCTATATAGTAGGCACAATAACAAGTGTGTATATTAAGTAAATTCAAGCTCTTGAAGAGTGGTGGGGTGTGTTGCCTGGCGCAGGAGTTTTTGATCATCGCACCACAGCTTTTGGTTGGGTTATTAAAGGTTTAAGGTGGTTGGCTGTGGTAGATCCCCAAGCACAAATAGGTGAGGTAAGGGTATGTTAGAGAGTGATATAAAGTAAGGAGTGTCATTTGGGGTACATAGTATCGTATCTTGAAAAGGATGCCTACTGGATGCTGGATGTGGCTTTGGCATGCTGCACTTAATTGTATTCTTTTGTACTTTTCTGTATCATGTTCAAATTAATAAATAAATAAATAAATAAATAAATAAGGTGGACCTAGAAATTTCTTTCTTTCTTTCTTTGTTGGGTTTATCAGAGCCACTGACAGCATAAGCCGTATCGAGCCCGGTTTCTCAATGGGACGAGAAAAAACTGTTGCCCAAGGCTGGGTGATGAAAGAAAAGGAACAAAAGTTCCTTTGTAAATAGAGATAGAAACTTTAAGTTTCCAATTACATCCGGTGGACCCCCTTGCCAAGCCCCAGCAGAGAGGGACGCCAACACCCCCACCTGAGTTCAGTAATCGGCTTTCCACCAAAGACTGTTAAAGAATTTCCCGCAGAGCGGAAAAATGGAGCTGGCTAAAGTAAGCCGATGAACAGGTGCCCCTCCTGTAGGGTGCCTGGCAGGCAAAATAGATGAGGACAAGTGTCCCAGTGAGAACGGGGGATATTTGTCACTGATACTCAGGCGAGAGAGAGATGTCCACACCCGACGAAGACTAGCGCAGAAGTGCTGACCTAGAAATTTGCCCTCAGTGTGTCTTGTAATAGGGGAACCATTTATCAATATGTTTAGCTGGATATTTAATATTCTGTTTTCAAAAAGCATGAAGCAGGTTTTGTCTATTTTGAGAGTGAGTTTGTTGGTCGTCATCCAGTTTGATATTTTTAGTAGCTCGCTGTTTACAGTGTCACTAAGTATAGCCGGGTTTGGGTAGGAGAAGACATAAGTGGTGTCATCTGCAAACAGAACTGGTTTAAGGAGTCAAGATGCATTTGGAAGGCCACTGATGTAAATAAGAAAGAGCGGAGGGCCTAGGACACTTCCCTGTGGCACTCCAACAACTACAGGCTGAGTAGTGGAGGTCATGCCATTTGTGTATACGTACTGGTGTCTATCACAAAAATAAGATTTTAGGTAATTGAGGGTGTGTCCTATGATCCTGTAATTTCCTAGTTTTAGGTGCAAGATATTGTGGTCTACTGTATCAAATGTTGAACATGTTCACCTGGCCTTAAAATAGATACCTAGGAGCTGGTTGACTGTTGTGGGTTGCAAACTGGGAAAGAGGATAGTAGTACTTCAATAGAAATAAGACACACTGCTCGACTTTTCAAGCAACCTGAGTTGTTAACCCTCCACGGTTATTGAGAGTCCAATGAAAATAACTATTTAACTTTGCTCGATTATTCTAGGTTAAGTCAACAAACTGTACCATCAGTGCATAACTATAACAAATGTATACTTATACAACCAGTGTCAGGCAAATTCTTAAGACTTCAAATCACCGACATCAGAGAGTTATCCAGGCAGCAGGTTTAGTGACTTGTTAAAATATAACCATGAGTTATCCAGCAACACAATTAAGGTTCAGGTTTGGTTACATCAGGTTAGTGTTTGCCCCTAGTTTTACTAAACTCTTACATACATCCCATGGCTTGGTTGGCACTGCTCTCGCCTCACACACTGACTATGGTTTAATCCCCAGTATAGGTAGAAATGATATGAAGTTTCCTTAAACCTACTGTTTGTTTACCTAGCAGTCAGTAGGTACCTGCATGTTAGTCAACTAGTGTAAGGTGCATCCTGGGGGACAAGATTAAAAGAACCCCAATGGCAATAAGACAGACCATCCCCAATTACACAAAGACTTTCTTGGGTTATCCCGGGTGGCTAACTCTCAGAGTTAAAAAACAAACAAATCTTATCTTTTATGGGAGAATTCCTCGCTAGCAGAGAAATATTGGAGTTATCCTGATCGACTGACAACTTGGGAAAAGTGGTGAGATTGCTTACATTCTTATAAGTGATTTAAATGTATAGTACTGTCTGTAAAATCATATGCAACTAACATGGGTTAGAATTAGTATTAATAATAGCATTACTCCAGTCACGTACCGTTATTTGTGTAGTCTCCTCAAATGCTGTGATATTAAATGCGGCCCCTAAACTAATCACAAGAAAGTTCATATGCACTTAAATACTGATTCATTTATAAAATTATAGTAAGAGATATAGCACATAACTGAAAATACTGATAGGGACTCAATCACGTTATCACTTGACTAACGTTTGTTTACCTTGCATGGTGAAACAAAAATCAAACTAATTACCAAGGTCAAAGCAATAACAATTAATAATAAGAATTACATAATATGTATTCCTACCTACGTGATGTTTCAAACTGCTTATAGAAGCTTTTAACATAAAGTAATGGATGAATTTGTTCAAAGATTTGGGTTGTGTAGAGACAACTTCCATTCTACGGTGTAAATGTGTTTTAACTATCGTCGTGCATGGCACCACAAGTGTCGTTAAACTCACATTTACTTATCTTTCTAATCTTTCAATTAAATTATTACCTGAATCTCTAAAACGTATCGCTTTTTAATTGTATCAATGATAAATTATATTATTAAACATTCAGAAGGCAAATGAAATGATAAAAGATAAGCACTTCACTGGGAAAGTCACAGTGTAAGTTTATTTAGGTACTATTACACATTTTTTAGATGACTTACAACTGTCTTACAAAGTAACATGTTTAAATTACCTAGAATAACCACCAAAAATCAAAGTTACTTATGTCCACTGGCTTCTTGAACCCCAGGCTAAATTCTACATGAGCGTGCCATTCTTGCCAATCAGGGTTGCCATATTGGCCATTTCATGGCCAAATTTGTGAAACTTGGCCATTTTTTAACTCTGTGGCCATAAAAAATAAGTTTGCCCATATATGCAAATGTGGCCACTAATTTGGCCATTTTTACAAATATTTCAAATCATGTGCATTATTTACTTAGTTTATATTGTTATCGCATTGTAAGGCTACCTATTTGTGTCCCTTTACGCGGCTTTTGGTTGGTGATGACGCTTAATGCAAACTGACTGTTGCTGAAAATGTTTGTTCGATGACGTCATAATAAGCCTTTGGTATCTGGCTTATACTATGTTACTATGACTCATTCAATAACACCAAGAATGTAGATGAATGGTTCAGAGAACCGACATGTTGATAAATTAGACACATGTGCAACTCTTGGGTATCTTTATTTAGGAAACGTTTCGCCACACAGTGGCTTCATCAGTCCATACATAGGAGAAACTTGAAGAACAGGAGGAGAATGAGGTAATCAGTCCCTCAACCTTGAGTCGATGTGTTCAGTCCATCAATCTTGAGTAGAATACGGCAGATGAGCGGAGAAGCAGCTTATAAACCGTATGGCAGGAGAGGTGTAGCAGTCATAGGTAGTGTCACATTTGTTCAATGTGGAACATTGAACAAATGTGACACTACCTATGACTGCTACACCTCTCCTGCCATACGGTTTATAAGCTGCTTCTCCGCTCATCTGCCGTATTCTACTCAAGATTGATGGACTGAACACATCGACTCAAGGTTGAGGGACTGATTACCTCATTCTCCTCCTGTTCTTCAAGTTTCTCCTATGTATGGACTGATGAAGCCACTGTGTGGCGAAACGTTTCCTAAATAAAGATACCCAAGAGTTGCACATGTGTCTAATTTATCAACACCAAGAATGCTTGAACTTCGTTCTGTACTTGCATCAAACAAGTACACAAAGCTCCCACTCGCTATTATTGCTTTAAACTTCATCCAGTTCTGTTGATAAATACAACCAAACACGTTGCAGCTTCGTTTTGTACTCGTATAAAACACGTACGCAACAGCCATACCATCTTGGGTCCATGTTTGTTTTGATCGTCTCTAGTTAGGTACAGTGTAAACTTTGTGTTGCAAGTGCTGTTCTGTTATGTCATATCAGACATTTGGTGATCTTTGCTGATAGTTCTGTCTCATAAGCTTTGATACTGAAATATTTTGCATAACTTTACCAGCATTGTTTACCACTGAATATATCATTGCTTAGTTAATTTTAAGTTAATTTTAAGCCTGCCCATAATGCTCTGCATACAAGGGGCTTTGGTATGTTACATTTAACCACTGTATTTCCTTGTACTTCAATGTATCATGTTCAAATTAATAAATAAATAAATTGTGACAAAATACAAGCAATATGTTCAATTTCGTAAGAATTGGGATTAAGTGATTTTAGTATAATTATTGAATAATTTTTAATATCGTTTATAAACTCGATCTTTATCTTGCTTATATTTCTGTTATTTTCCCTTTACCAGATTGTTGTTTGTTGTGACAGATTAATATTTGTGATGAATGGTTTGAAAAACCGACAAGTTGAAGATTGAGTAACTACTGACGAAATTAAGACACATGTGCAGCGTCTGGTTGTCTTTGTTGTGGACGTTTCGCCATCCAGTGGCTGGCTGGATGGCGAAACGTCTACGGTGGGGATGCCCGGGTGTTGTGCATGTGTCATTTCATCCTGTCGGTATTATATACAATTCTTGTACTACTACTACCTCCACCTCTTCCTGCCTATATATAGCCGTCCTGCTCCACCTCTGTTAGTGTGACTTTGTCAATGGTCCAAGTCGGACTGAAACGTCGTCGTAAGCTTCTGTCTTTTATGTGCGGGTTATTTGTGTATTGAAGATTGAGACACGCAACATATGGGAATCTTTATTCAGGAAACGTTTCGCCACACAGTGGCTTCATCAGTCCAATACAAAGTAGAAAGGCGTAAGGAGAGGAGGAGTTTGAGGTAATCAGTCCCTCAGCCTGGAGTCGATGTGTTCAGTCCATCAATCTTGTAGAATGTGATTGATGGACTCCAGGCTGAGGGACTGATTACCTCAAACTACTCCTCTTCTTACGCCTTTCTACTTTGTATTGGACTGATGATGCCACTGTGTGGCGAAACGTTTCCTGAATAAAGATTCCCTTATGTTGCATAAGTGTCTCAATCTTCAGATTAATATTTGTTGTTCTATAACTGGTTTTTTGTTTCTTCATTTTCTGAACTGAGATTTTTTTAATCCCTTTAAGTGATAAAAGAGGTGGAAGAAAATATAAAAAAGAGTGGGAAGTAAAATATTTGTGGGTGAAATCTGATGATGGGCAAAATGCATATTGCACGTATTGCAAAACTAACGTGCTGCCGAAACTTTATAATATATTTGTTCATGAAAAATCAAAGAAACACCAAGATAAATCTGCCAGTACATCACAAACAACTCTAGATAAAGTTATCAAATCGTTCATGAATGACCAGAAAAAACAAGCAGAAATAGAACTTAGCCTTGCAATAGCATGTCATTTCTCACTGTAAATATTTTTATTTTAATTCAAAGTATTTTTGATTATATGTAATCGAATACATGTATATAGGCATAATTTATGCACACTTGATTGTTGGTATGTTAAGTCATACAATTCAATCATTTTATATCTTTGACCACATTTTTGGCCTAATACTTTTCCAAAGTGGCCATTTTCGCCATATTTTCTTTAAATTTTGGCCATAAGCTGTTGTGTTCATCTGTCAACCCTGATGCCAGTGCTCCAGATTCTTCACGACTTCGGTGCTCTTCACACAAACTCTAAGGCTGATGGACTGATTACCTCTTCTTTTGTATATAGTTCTACTGTCTTTAAATTATGTTCTAGAATTTGTATTGATAAAGCCATTGGATGGCGAAACGTCTACATTAAAGATACTCAGATGTTGCATATGTGTCTAATTTTCAAAAACAAGTGTGTTCCCTCATTATATTCAACAGATAGTAATGGTATAGACAGTATAAAACGTAAAACTTAAAATTGCAAGATAAGGCAGCTTCTTGCGATTGTTATGCAGTGATTGAAACAAGTTGATTAATGCTACAATTGTCATCCCCTCAAGGGAGGTTCCTTGACGCTGGCGAGGGGCTCTTGATCTAGGGAATTGGATCTGTGCTCCAGTTCCCTGAATTGAGCCTGAATACCTTCCATCCCCCCCTACATGCGCTGTATAATCCTTCGGGTTTAGCGCTCCCCCATGATTATAATAATGCTACAATTGTCATCAGGTATCCTTAAGTGGTTGCCAGAATTTCGTTTCTTCCTCACACCTTTTGTCTGTCTTTTGCTCATAACTCGAGAAGTCTAAGCTTATCCGACTGGCTTCAAATTTTCCATGCCTGTGTACAGTAACAAGGGTCAGATTCTTATAACTGGCATGTTCACATGACTTATGACCAAAGTTGTTGAACCCATCCCCAGCATCCTGGAATGACTACAGTAATTTCCAGAACCCTCAGTGACATAACTTCTAAAATTAAAAAAAAAAGAAAAGTGCTTCCTAATTTAACAATGGCGGAGAGTGAAATTCAAGTTGTAGGGGTAGATCTAACCAAAGTACATGAAAAATATTGATTTTTTTTCTATTCCCGTTAAATCCCATTAAATATATTTCACCACCAATCCGACGACATTCATCTTTGCAAATATGCAGGGTCTAAAGCCAGCAATGAACAACAAAATACCTTTCATCCGTGGAATGCTTACAGAATCAAACGCAATGTTCACAGTTTTCAGACTCACATAAAGGATCACTTGGACAGTGATATATGGATCCCGAATTACAGCCTATTCAGATGCGACAGAGTGAACAGGAAAAATGGGGGGGTTGGCCTGTATATCACAGTCACTTATATGCTTGGAACTACTAAATGCCTCAAATGATGTAGGTGAAGTTTTAGCAGTAAGGATCGAGAACCAAAACCTGGTCATTGTGGTTGTATACAAGCCTCTGGATGCAACATCCCAATAATTCCAGGAACAGCTTTTGAAAATTGACCACTGTCTGGAAAATCTTCCAGCTCCTGCCCTCAACATCTTGTTCCTGGGGGATTTCAACCTAAGGCACCTAAAATGGAGGAATATAGCAAATAATGTTGTAGCAGAGATAACACCAGGAGGCAGCTCAGATGAAAACTCGCACACACATGAGCTTTTAAATCTCTGCACCAAATTCACCTTAAACCAGCAAATAACAAAGCCTACAAGACTGGAGAATACACTGGACTTCATCTTCATTAACAGTGATGATCTGATACGAAATGTCACCGTATCAAAAACAATATACTCAGATCACAACATAATAGAGGTTCAGACATGTATGTGTGGGCCCCAAACTGACAAAATGTGATCTTTCACGAGGGAGCATTCACCAAATTCAACTTCAATAACAAAAA